GACAAATAACACGCGAATCCGTAAAAACTCGAATATCTGTCTGAGCGACTTCGAAAAATTTAATTTTAAATTTTGCTGATTGGTCATTGTTACGGAAATAAACGAGGAAAACGATGCTCGGGGAAACACCCATACAGTTGCCGTAGTGGTGCCGATGTGCGACATGTGTATCCATATTTGTGAGCCATTCATTGCTCTTGTATTTAATTAATAATGCTTTTGAAGTTTTGTTTATTTGATGAAATAAATTTTCTGCAATGTCCGGACCCCAGTATTTTTGGAGTTTTCTTAAACGGGTCTTTGGTGAAAATAGTTGAGTAGCCCTGGTTTATAGCTCATAATGTGTTAACGGTCCCATGTAAAGTGTTATTTTATATGTACAATTCACCCTAATCTATGAGTCAAATGCAATTGTGCATGAAAGATAAACTATATCTGAAAATTAGTATAAAAAATATGGATGATGGCATTTAATATCATCTTGATTCTTGATGATCCCATCTAATATCATAGCCATGAGGTTGACTGAAACTCCAACTTTATCCTACGCGTTTCTGAGTCCAGATATCTTTCGTTTTTAATCAATACAGAAACATTTCAGACAATATAAGTTTAGATTGCATGAAGCACATTATGTTCGCGGCACACTTTGGTGGAATTCAGTTTGGGAACGTCTGCCCTAAAAGAAGTAGGCCTACATAATACTACAGTAGACCTTTGGCGGTCAGCTCATCCAATATAGGGTTAGGGACACGCTTGCTATCGCACCGCTTATTGGTACTGCAAGGGATTTGTTTTAAATTAGGTTTTACTCTTTTCGTTTAAAGTGGCTATTGGTGATTTTTTTCACATCCATCTATCGTTTTACGCCAAACATGAAACTAACTATACCGATTATGATATCGGTCGCGTTGGCAGCGGCAATTATTGACCAATATTTGAAGGTAATTACAACTCAACACGATCACTATACCTTCCTTAGCGACCATTTTCCCATTGATATTCTGAAACGTCCGAAGTAATTTAGATGTAGAATATTTATAATACAGCGGTGGGATTCAGCCGGTTCTATAGAACCGTCTCACGGAATTTTATGAGATCAGCGAACCGGTTAGCATTACTGGTAACCAGTGGCGGCGCGTGGTCATTTTGACAACCGGGGCAAGCTACTGCGGGACCAAGTCACCCCCATCTACGGGGACAGGATGAGCGCTGTAAATTCTCCCATCATTTATTAGGAAAAAAACCATTCCATCGGTAACAACCAATCGGCAAAAGCGACAATTTTTAACGATAAGAAAGTGTCTTTAAAACCGGTCCAAGTCAAGGGATCAATAAATATAGACATAGTTTATTTTGAAACCTCTTTCAAAAGGAAAGGCAATATTTACCCAGATAAATATAATGACATATTAACAGAAACTTCGGAAAGCAGACAAAACCTAAAATAAGGTTTAAAACGTTACTATGAAGAAAGATAATGCAAAGATAAAGACATGCGTCGCTCACTCATAGATATATATGCTGCTAGACTTCTACTGCTTGAACATATATGCAACACGCCGCGGTTTCTTGGAAGCAAAATGCTCAATAACGCGCTGATTAAAGTCATGCATCCCAGAAATAACGTCTCTGTGAATGGATAAAACAGCCAAAGAATTTAATCTATCTTGCTTCATTGTGTTTCTGAGATACGTTTTAATAGGCTTCAGCGTGCTGAATGTTCGCTCTGCGTCGGCGGAAGAAATAGGCGTCGTCAAAATGATGTCCAGAAATTTTGCAGACGCCGCAAAGGTAGTTACTAGAGTGTTATCTATGAGGAACCCATAGAGCGCGCAAGTTGATGTGATGTTCAAAAAAGTTTGATTGGTGTATATACATCACAATTCATTTTCCAATTTACCCACGTTTATCATGGGGTAAAATTTGGAGACAGTAGCCAACAAATGGATGGGAAATTGACGTGCAAATTTTGAAAAATTTTTGGGGTTCATCAAAGAGAACGCGGCAAGGTGTTCAGTGCGCAGACGATCGCCTATTTGATTTACCAACCAGAATGTCACAGCATTCCTTTGCAGACAAAATCAAACGCTGCGTTGTTTGCCCGCGGCGTAAAGAAGCACTCCATGTGTCGTCGTATTTTATTGTTTCCCGGATACGAGATACAGCATCGCAGAAGTCTGAAATACACGAGAAAAACACTCAATGAGCTCAGACCTAATTTCGGACACGCCCTGCACCACGCGTGATTGGAAGTTCCAACGTGTTGGTGCACAAGCTGGGAGACGGCGGCTACATATCTGGCGAAGGAGGTCAGAGCGCTTCGGCGAAACGGAAAAAAATGAAGAAAACCCCGAAACATTTGCAAAAAATATACGGACGAGAGGGGTATCAAGACACATATTTTTAATAACGAAGTTAAATTGGTGTGCATAACAATGTAAAAAATGCGCATGAGGAAAATCTTCTTTAATATAAACTTGAACACCATGTTTCGACCCACTCATGACTGCCGCGCCGTCATAAGTTTGAGCTATCAATTTTGACTTCGCGTTGTAAGGCTGTAACACTTCTTTCAGTACAGCCGATATCCCGCAAGCCGTGCGATCAACGATTGGTACAAAGCTGTGAAATCTCTCGGTAGGTTTACCATCTTTCACAAACCGAAAAATCACAGCCAGTTGGGAAACGCACGTGATGTCAGTTGTCTTGTCAGACTGAATCGAAAGAAACTGGCAATTCTCAATTTCCAGAGCCAAATGTTGTAAATAAATTTTATACATTGAGTCGAGCAAATCATTTTGGATATCCTTAGATGTCCCTTTCGAAACAGTTGCGGCATCAAGATGATCTCTCAATACTGTATCTAGGGATGCGGTGTATTCCACCATATCCAAAAATACCCCTCTATTAGAAGAGCCAGCCCGTTCATTGTGCCCACGAAGGGACAGCTCGTGACAACCAATGAACTTCAAAACATCTATCAATCGACCGAGAACATGGCGGTTTTTCTCGACGTTTTGGTTGTGCCGACGAATAGAAACCGCGCGCCCTTCATCCAACTGTGCTGCAATATTAACATTTCCGAATGTTCGGTATTTTACTGCATTGTCCAGATGCTCCATAGAAGATTGATGATCCCTGGCACGCTCGGAAAGATGTTTAAGATCTCTAAAACCAAATTTACACCAACGTGAGTCACGGACAGTAGCAAAAAGTAGGCAATAAAAACAAAAAAGTGCATTTTTGTCCTCGCTGTAACACAACCATTCGTGTTTTTTATACCAAGTTTCTGCGCAGAATGTACGCCGACGCTTTCCTCCATCATGGGATTGTTCCAGTGAAAAAAATTTTGGTTGATAAGGCCCAAGACGTTGTACCTCTAATTTTTGTTCCAGCGGCAGCTGCGAAAACAGAGTGCGAAGTAGTGCATCAACCTTATTCATTATGAGGTCTAAGGCTAAGAAATGCGAAGCCGGAAAGAAGTGAGGAGCTCGAAAGGAATGTGGAAAATCGAAAGCAAATGGACTAAAGGTCTCTAACTGATTCAAATAGCGAAACAAGCGACAAAAACGAAGGCGAGGAAACTATCAACTCTCCAAGCAACCAACGAACGAGAAGGAATGCGTGAATATGTCAACACGTTGTTGTAAGAAACGTCGGCATTGTGTCGTCATAATTTCGTGGCTAGTCCCGATGATTTAGTAAAAGAAACAGAAAAAAAACGAGACAAACGCGGCGAGTGGAAGATAAAAGAGAGAAGACGATATACAATGAGCAACCGGGGCAAAATCGGCTTCGCCCCGTCGACGTTCGGCGAAGGCTTTGCGAGCGAAAAATGAACCATGTCGGGAGAATATGGCTAGTGTAGACAGTCTGTGCAACCGATATTGAGGTATTTTTCGAATATTTTTTATTATACCGAAAAAAACAACCTATGTTGGCCCTATTGACGCGCCGCCACTGCTGGTAACTGTCAATGACTTTTCGTAATAGAACCGTCTGAAAAATATGACTTTTGTGATAGAAACGGTTGACAAAAAAATTGAATCCCGCCACTGGTATAATAAAGTGCAAAATGAAACGAAGCCGGTGGGGGGAAACAATTATTTAAGCAATAACGAAGCGCCCATTACGATAAAAGTTCAAAATTAGGTTTGTCCATAACTGTGCCAATTTGTCTGCAAATGTACCACACGAGAAGAATGAACTAAATGAAACAATTAAATGAATGACTCCGGAAGATTTTTCAGTAGTCAATCTTTTTATTTGCGGCATATTGGAATCGAGGTCGAGACCAAAAGAAACATGGCATAATGCCACGAATTCTAAATACTCTGGTTACTTCACCACTGTCAAGAAAAAAGGTATTCTTTGTTTTCTAGGCTTCGTTCATAGAAGGCATAATAGGTTGAAATTTTGTCAAATGGTTTTTCGATTTTAATCATTTGTACTTGGGACGGTTTTTACAACATTATCCGGAACCACCTCAATGAAAATCGGAACACAAAGAAAACTGCGGCTACCGTGAAACTACCGTGTTTCTTCGAAAATAAGACCTACCCTGAAAATAAGACCAAGTCGAAGGCTCAAATTTTTTTTTTGACCTAGTCAATTGCAAGAAATCCCTCCAAAACGTTTTAAATGATTAGTCGAAAACGTGTGAGAGAGGAAAATTGTTAATGGATATCGGTCTTCATATTTTGTATATTCGAAAATCTCGTAATTTTCTACTTTGTAATTTTGTTTCGATAAATGAAAGACATCGCACGAAAGTAAGCCCTAGTGTTATTTTTCGAAAGAAAATTGAAATAAGACCCGGTCTTATTTTCGGAGAAACACGGTAGCACATCGAAGAGGAGGTCGCAAACGCGATCGATAAACGTACAACGTTTTGGTTCTCTCTCTCTGCGCCTGCCACATTTCATATACCGTGACCTGTTTGACAAATTGCAATCGATTTTTTTACATAATATCTGCAATCGCACGTAAACGGCTTGTAAGTCTCGTGAAAAAGTAATATTTATTAGCCAACAAGATTATTGTAAATTATGTTCACGTACGGGACAATTTTATGCAATGAATAAGCAACGGCTCACCAGCTACGGACCATATTTGGTCGTGGATGATATCACAAAAAAGATAAAAAAGGTTTTGCATGCCGAACTTACATGGTATTTAATATATTGTACCGGTATCTCATTTAAAAAACGGTCAACCTAAATCAAGAACAGCCAAAATTGTAAATCTCAGGGACTTTTCACAGTGTTGAAACTTGATAGAATCTACTGATCCTAATATTTACTGTATCTAAAGGGGCAACAAACAACCTGTATTATGTGTTGAACCATGGTACATGATAACACATAGACAAAATATTAGGCTATTGAATGGATGAAATTATTATACATTATTCACATGTCTCAACTGGGCGTTGTATGATCCATGCTTAACTGCATGCTAATTCTGTGTATGATTTTAACAAGTAGATTAATACAGGTGATAAAATTATGAGACATGTGATGACATATCTACCATATATCATAGCCTAATATACCTACCAGCTGTCAAAGCTAAAATACAAAGATTATGAAAGAGTGGATTACACAAAGGGAAAAGTGACTGAACAGATTATTTCAAAATACAAATACGCCATAATAATATCTATATAGGCTATACAAAAATAGACATTGGGGGAAATTGAAAAAAATATCAATATTTGACTAGATAGGGATTTTGAAATTCAAATTCATTTACGCTATCACCTTTTCATTCAGAAAAACGATTCCTAAATTGATGAATTGTTAAACAAAAGTATACTATATCCCACAAACTTTACACTACTAAATTTAAATCCAAAAAAAGCAGAAAAATAAGTGATGATCTAAATATTTTCTATAAGAATTGGAACGACTGTAGTTATGTTGGAAAATTCTAGAAACACAAGTCCACAACAATGCAAATTACTATATTTTTGCTATGAATCTGCCATCGTTAGGAGTATTCATGTTCATTGAGAAATTGATTACCCTGGTATATCTAAAAAACAAAAATAATTTGAGGTGTTTATCAACAACTGGAAATTTAAAGGTATTTATAATTGAATATTAAATTAGAGTCATGCGTAACAAACACCCTGGCAACATGAGTGATGATGCTTCTGATTGATTTTCATTTGAATATTTGATCTATTATTAATGTGTATTGATTGATAAACCCTATTGATTAATTAGAACACAATATTCTTGTTGGGGTAGTTGATCAGCCAATTCACATTCATGAGTCATATATGTTCTAAGGCTATTGAAAACAGTTCATGATGCAATCTGGATATTGAATGTGATATTTAAAGTGTTGGCATAAAAACAGACACAAACAAGATATCAATATATTTACCAGACCAACTACAACTAATAAATTATTAACTTTACTTATACATGCATTAAAAAAATATGCAAAAAGTTGAGGATGTAACTTCCAAATTTAAAAAAAATGGAGTAATGTATGATTTGAGGCTAAATTATTGTTGGAAAACAAGATAAAACTTGATGGATGAACAAATTTTTCATTCCATTTATTCTTATTAATTGTGTAAAGGAGTAAATATTATTCAAGAAAATTCATGTAGGCCATATATTATTTCCCTTATGATACACCCGGATTTATGTTCTATTATCACTAACAGAAACAAGAGTTTTTCATTGCAGATATTTATTTAACTATCAGTTATGAATAAAAAAAACTGATCTGAAAATTAAAAACAATTCCATCGTCAAATTCGAAATTCTTTTGAAATATGTTAATTCTAATATATGTGTCCCTATATGCACTTAAAATGAATAAATTGGAAAGTGAAATATTACTTGGATTCAAATATATTTGATTATTAAACTCTACAGAACGCTGATAAATTGCATTGATAAGATAATCTCACAAGAATTGTACAAAAGAAAAATAAAGTTTGATAAAACTTAATTGTTTATTGAAGGAAAAAATTGTATTATTAAATTAACATGGGACCAACAACGATAAAAAGAGTAATGCTTAACCAATGATTTTAGATTTTTCACTCCACCCAATGTTAGTACATAATCACGCAAAAATGTGATTGTTAATGCTCTGATCGTTAACTTTTTAGACTGGACAAGCACCATGTTTCCAAATACTAACTAAATCATAAAAATTGAACACATGTTTGACTAACATGAGAATATTACCGACAAAATCAGTTGAATAGGGGCATTTGGGAGACACAGCAGTACGATATTTTTAAACTCTCAAAAAGCAATGAATTCAGTCAAGTTTTCCAGTAAAAATATGAAATCGAAATTCATGTTAACCCATAGTCAGACTCCTCTGATGCTAATTGATATAAATGAAATAGGAAAAGAAACAAAAATAATCCTAAATTCTGAATAAAAAAAATACATTTATATCACATTTAAACATCAACAACCATTTTCTTGTGCACATCCAAAGTGTCAACCATTGCACAAAACTCATCAAAAGATATTTTGCCATCACCATCTAAGTCAGCATAAATGATGGTTTTATCCACAATTTGCTGAAGCTGAGCGTCTTTTAAATTGCTGCCAACCATCATTTTCAGAACCTGAAATAATTCTCCGTTAGAGATAAATCCATCATGATCCATATCATAAATCCGAAAAGCAAATTTCAACTTTGAAATTTTGTCACCCTTCACACTAAATTGTGAAACACCTTCAATGAATTCTTGAAAATCAACTTCCCCATTGCCATCTTGGTCAAATATATCAATAACTCTTTTAACCAAAGGATTTTGCTGGAGTTCTGGTAATGTCATGAACTCCTCAACGCTCAATGAACCAGAGTTGTCGAGATCAAGTTTACGGAAACGCTTCCCAAGACGTGCAATCTCCTCAGGGTCAAAATGCGAACACATTTCCATCGGAATAGACAAGTCATTCCCCATTCTGGCAAATTATGAGAATCAATGCAAAGCAAAAGACTTATTTAGTAGGCTGTAACACATCAGTATAAAAGAAAAAATTTAATAGAGTAGCATGCTTTAATGATTTTACAAAAACCTAGGTATGAATAGACTTTGATCAAGTATGGGTAAAACTATGTAAATTCGTCATAGACTACCGGTATCTAGTTTAACATAAGTACCGGTATCGGTACTCTGTCAACAGGTCAAAGGAAGATGAACCAATTTTCTACTAAACATACCGTATACCGGTAGAACAAATAGTGATAAAGCTAGGATTTCATCTATACCATAGGCTAGTAAGATTGGAATGACCCCACATATTTTTTCCTGATCGTACTAGCCTAATATGTATGTAATCACTATTTAAAAATTCGCTAATGCCAAATGCAGAAATGGAGCTGACCGTAGCTTGTAGCGCCTTGGTAAAAATAGCTAGCGACTAGTCTTCCAGCATATCGGCAACTGCTTAAGACCGGAGGCGGATAACTCATCCGAGACAACTCGTCTGAGGGCTGCTGAGTTGTCCGTCTTTTGCATTTTCTGCGACGACGTTTTCAAGACTACAGTACTGAAAAGGAGGGAGAGATTTATTTTTTTCGTCAATCAGAAAATCGAGCATTGCAACAATAATAAACTCATCCGAGACAACTCGTCTGAGGGCTGCTGAGTTGTCCGTCTTTTGCATTTTCTGCGACGACGTTTTCAAGACTACAGTACTGAAAAGGAGGGAGCGATTTATTTTTTTCGTCAATCAGAAAATCGAGCATTGCAACAATAATAAACATAATAATAAGTAATAAGTTCATTTCGACTCAGCAGTAGACGATAAAATAATGGATAAAAAAAAACTGATTATAGAAACGGGAGAGCAAACAAAACCTCAAGCAAGGTTTGAAGCGTACAGATTTTAGATGCAAAGGTATTGTTAAAAGAAGTAGTACGTGTTCGCTCACCCAAACGTAAAAAAACAAATTAAAGCACGCACGCACGCACACACTCCTACAATCATCGAGACATGATCATGTTGGAAGTGAAAAAAGTGAGACTTAAAATCAATTAAATTACTCAGTAAAAAGAAAAATATATGAACAAATAGAAAAAATGAATAAATTCTTTTGCCACACCAAATTAATAATTTTATGAGGATTGCCAAATTGGATACCGAATTAGTCAACATGAGTTATATATTGTGGATGGGAAAATATTCCTCAAAAGATAACGTCAAGCTGATTATAATTGGAGTCACCTAATGCCAAATTGCCCAATCAGAATTACCAAGTTTGATGCATGAAGAGGTGGGCCAGACCTGCATCACTCACCAGATAGAAGCCAAATCAACGTCCAAATTATTTTAAATACTAAGAATCAATAAAAGTACCGGTAATTATTAGGGAGGCGACAAGATTCGGACTCGTGCTCGGATCCGTGGCCGAATCTCTCGTTATTTAATACTAGGGATTCGGCCCGAGCCTTTGATGATTTTACCGAATCCGGGACATCATACGTCACGCGATAGTCAAACGAAGATTGATGGCGCATTCGACGAGAAATTCCACTTTTTCGTTCTGTTTTGTAACGAGAGTGTCCATCATATTTTCTCTACGGCGGAATTATGACAAGGCGCCAAAACTGCGAATTCACGATGTCGCAGAGCGTTTAGGAACAAATGAATGTCTCGGAAGTTGCGTGTAGCTCGTCTTCCCTTGCCAGACGTAGTTCGATGGATGTTTACCATAGGCCGCGAGCCGAGGCCCTGAAAAATGCCTAGAAAGTGAGTTTCGTAGCGCACATCAGGTAACTACCTGAAAATGATTTTAAAATGTTCTATAAAAATTTAGTAACAAATATTGCCTTGTTCCCACTTCCAAAAGTTGCACGTTTTACGGAAAAGACGCTTTTACTACAAGAAATATGTGCTACGATCTGTCCTATATTCTCTACATTTTCGGCAAGGAACAATGACTTCTGCATGACGTAACAATTGAATTAAACCAGCTGTTAGCGAGCGGATGAATATTAGTTATTACTGCTCGACCTTGCGCCGAGTTGGGCAGGCTTTCCATAGCCCTGTTTAGTTATTATTAGTTAAGTTATGCTAAGACGTTGTTGAAAAATGTATAAGTAAGTTATTAAACACTTGTAGATCCTTACCACGGATATTGGCCGTGAGACGAAGCCATGAAAACGCCCAGAAAATGAGTTTCGTAGCGCACATCCGGTAACTAAATAAATTCTTCAGTTTTGTGTGAAAACGAACATAATGAACGCATTACAGCTTGTTCCACAATCCTGGTGCGAAATTGAATATAAGAGGTTCCCGGAAATTCAATAACCATAAGTTTACAACACATACATAAGAACTATACAATTCGAGAGCCCTACAGCACACTAACACAAATGTATTCCTGTAAGTCAATCATAATTTATTAGGTAGATTACGAAAAATATGGCATACATGTAACCAACAACAAAAAATACTTTAATTGTGTGACAGGAGTCGGGAGTGACCTCGAAAGCAGCGACACCAACAACGCTGATTCACATTTGCGAATAAATTTTATGAAGCCTAATAACCACAAGCAGTTTACAACAAGAACAGCATAAAAAGCTACATCCATTTTATAGAAGCTATCAAACGTATTTATTTTTAAGCAATGAAGTCACAAATTAACATCGTGAGCACGAAAACACAAATAAATCAGTTATTTCTCACTTAGTAATTTACCGCAAAAGTCAAGAAAATTAAATGAATGTACAATATGTACATAACATAGTGAACAGAAATATTACAATTTACAATTAATCTTTATTTAGTTTATGTGGTTATGTAATTGAACAAAGGCAATAATATTTCTAGAAACAGGACTACGACACTAACAAATGTCCGAAAAAATAAAAAATAAATGATACTTATTAAATCAACTGTAATATCTAATTCACTTTCTTCTGAATTGTTTTCGAAATCCACTATCTCAAAAATCGACTTTTCCTCTATAAGTGTACTGTGATTTCTGCAGTCAATACAAAAACAAAAATCTGTGCAATTTAAGTTGATTTTGGCACACTTTTATTTTGACTATTTTTCTTACACTTGCAGTTTGCCAACTCAAGAACTGATTTGAGGGCCACATGCTTCTTCAGTGAATCATTGTTGGGTGGAGAGTATAATCCTTATGTTTGACAGTGTTAAATAGACGTGCCCTGGTATCATTTACATTCTTTATATCCTCTTCAAATTCCTCAGCTTTATTTATTAATGCCTCGCTAACCTCAAAAGATTTTCATAGTCGAGGGAAAAAAATGAATTGAAAATCTCAATGAAGTCTCCAACATTAATTTGATGGGCAGTTCCAATTGCAGAAAAGTGCTAAAGTATTTCAATATGAATAGCCCATCTAAGCTGTTTGCAACTATTTTGATTCTCATATACCTTTAAGCTTCAAGACTTCTTGTTTAATCCATTTTATAGCACTGATAGCAGCAGGGATCAGAGCCTGCGTTAGGTCGGATTGGTGGAACATTGCCGTTTTCTTTTGTAGTACAGTATCTAAAATAAGGAAGAAAATAATATTTTGAGCAGCATGAGTTTAAAAATACCCCTAAATACTAACTAATACCTTGAATACATAATGCATTTTATCTGATGTACTAAATGAGCGTATATATGCTCATTGCATGTACTACAGTCCAGCAGTGTTTGCATACCATTACTAGACTATATCTACACTAAATTTTGATATATCACAGTCTGAAATGTCCTATGACAGTATGAGTATGGACTATAGACTATATTTTAAAACATCAACTGTTTGTCTACAACTTGGTTTCTCACCTCTCAATCGTTTCCAATGCTACCTTTCTTTCCACTCCGGCATAACTTATCATTGCTTCCCAGGTTCTTGTCGACTCTATGAATTTAGATTTAGACCAACCGACATTAGTAAAATTGATTAATTTCTTCTCTTTCACACAACCGTGCATTACAGAAACAGCCATTCATTTCTATTTCCAAATATGCTGTGGCCTATGTAGTGGTATAAGTCTTCTGAATAGTCAAAAAGAGTCATTAAATTAATCATATACATTTCATGCAAGCCAGAAAATATCGTTGTTTGTGACATATTATTCTAGGTCTAGCCTTCCTTGGAGTTACCGCACCGTACCTATTTAACAACGTCTTATGAGCTAGTGCTCAACTAAAATTGCTATTTATGGTAAGGATATACAGGGGGATGAAACTAGTCTAGGAAGCCACGCCCACATTAATAAAACAAACAAAGTTATTCGCGTTGCGAGTTTTGCAGCTTCACGCTCCATTGCGATCACTTGATTTGCGCAAAATAGCGCGAAACAGCGCAAAACAGAGGAAAACAGCGCGAAACAGAAGGAAACCAGCGCAAAACAGAGGGAAACAGCGCAAAACAGGAGACGCAGTCATTACCACCTCCTGCCACGAAAGAACCACGGCGCCTCTCGCCATGGTTTTATGGCGCTATTTCCGGTATATTTACAAGGTTATGTACCGGATTATAGGTCATCATGCGAAATTTTATCTACCTTTTTGGTGCTCCAGAAGTATGTGCAGCAATATGTCGCACAACCTGAATGCGCTACACACACACACACACACACACACATACTATTTTCAGGTTGTGCGCCATCTTGGTGCACATACTTCTGGAGGTCCCTTTTTACCTAACCCTAACCCTAAAGCCAACCATATCCACATGGAAAATGTTCTAAATTATGGTACCCAAAATGTGTCACCAGCAGGGGCAGACCTGCCATTACAGCATTACTGGCTACATACGTTGGTTTGTGTTTTTGATTTGCTGCCGTGGTAATCCAACTCAAAACAAGGTGCCCCGAACTCATTGCAAAATTTTTTTCTGCTTCACACTGTTTTACTCTGTTTTGCGCTCTTTCGCGCTGTTTTGCGCTGTTTCCCCACTATTTTGCGCTGTTTCCCTCTGTTTCGCGCTATTTTGCGCTGTTTCGCGCTCTTTTGCGCTGTTTCGCGCTCTTTTGCGCTGTTTCGCGCTCTTT